GTTTTCTCTCTCCTCCTTTACTATCCAGTTTTCTGGATACCTGACCATGTCAGTCTTCTAGGGAAGGAGCTTGCTGACACTACAGCTAAGTCCATCTGCTCTGTTGCTGTCACAGACGTGCCTGTCCTGAATATGGACAATGGCCATGTGACAAAGATCTAGTTTCACGCCATTGGCAGTCGCTTTGGTGTGAGCAACTTCATAACAAGCTTTTCCAGATCATACCTACTGTTGTTGTTTGGCTGTCTAGTTTCTATAAGGATAGACGGGAGGATGTTGTCTTGGCTAGGTTATGCATTGGTCACAGTATTTTAACCCATTTTATTTTATGTGGGACTGATCTACCAATGTGTGGCCTTTGTAACACTCAGGTCACAATTGCCTACATTTTACTTTCGTTCTGTCGTTACGAATGTGAGTGCTGGCACCATTTTAGGGTTTACCCCTGGCATTGGATGATGTCATTGGCGATGGTGACACTGTCCAAATTGTTTGTGTTTTTAGCTTTTTGTGGGCCATTGTCCTTTTTACTTCTGTTTAGTTTTTAAACTAATTTTGGGCATCGTTTTGCTTTTAACTGGTTTTCTTTTAACATTTTATTGTATTTTACTTGTGGTATTTTTACCAGTTGTTTGGCACAAATAGCTTAGTTGCTTTGCACAAAAAAAGTCAAACAATCAATCCTGGCTTTTTTTTGTAGCAAAACAATTATGATATGGTTAGTGTCAAGCGATTCTAACAATTCATTTTTTTATTAAAAGTGTTAGTGCATTTAGCCTGTCTTGGCACATTGTTGATTGAAATGTGTTCTTTATCCTTTAAAGTGAGTCACGGGTACATCCTTAAAATTATCAGGACGTTTTGGAAAGTTGATTTCAGTGATCGGTCACATATCTTTATCAGCAAAGGGCAGAAAATTGAACAGTTTCTTTGTCTGTGCAACTCCCTCTTCAAGTCAATGGGATACGTAAATATCAGCTTTTTGGTAGCATTGCAGAGGTCCCCTGTAGGCATGGGCTCTAAGTTTTGTGGAAACCCAGATTTGCAACTGAAGTTTTAATATGCCGCTATTTTGTTGTCTAGTACAAGTGACATTTTGTTAATTAACGTTAAAATAGTCTAAACTGAGTAAAAGGTAAAAAATTCACTGTCCTCAGCATTCCCTTCGTCCCATCACATATTTCTTTTCCTTTTCATTGATCTTTCGACCTTATATGTCTTTCATCTTGAAAGATATTTACACTTTTCTTCATCTTCGGGAAATGAATTATGTAACTGCTGTGCAAATGTCTTGAGAGATTTTTTCAGATGAGGAGCAGTACTGATACCCATCTTGGTGTTTTGTAATGAATGACTTGTCTTGTGAAAACTCTTCAGGATCATGCTCCATAATTCCATCATTATATCTGTTTGTAGTTGTTTGACTTTAGGTGCACTTGAGGATTTTCAGTCATCTCCTGTAATGGAAGCGAGGACTTGTGTTATGGCTTTTTACCCCAATTTTTAATGCTTATATTGCATCTGAATTGAATGGATACTCCATCTTGTGTCTCGTGATATCTGTATTGTTGGGAACCCAAATGTTTTAAGTACATCATGTAGGCGTTTCAACAGGCGTGTTGAAGTTGATAAAAATACGTAAACCTTCTTCACAAAGGCAAAGAGTGAGCAAGCATGAGTACAGCAGTCCACAGCACAATGTCAAACCAAATTGAGAAAATGACCACAGCAGCGAACAAAGTCAGCTAGGAGGTTCTTCTTTATAATCAAGACTTGCATACCAACATATTTACCACTCATATTGGATGCATTGCTCTAATACTACCCACAATAATCTTGAATTCTTATATAATTCTTTTCAAGGAAATTGATGAGAGCTCTAGCAAGTTCTTCTCCCGTGTGGTTGCTTATCGGTATGAATGTGGCAAATATCTCTATAGGGGAATCATCTAAACTGTATCTAAAGATTATTGTTAGTTGATCTGTGTGGGATATGTCTGGAGTAGAATCAACAGACACTGAGTAATACTTGAATGTTTGATTTCCTGGATAATAGCAATGAGAACTTCTATAGAATTTCTATGAATTCAACAAAACAGTTGGGAATAAGTATGAAGCATGACCTTTTCCATTATTTTAAAGTTTTTGAATGTGTTGAGCAGGAATTGAATCATACTCAACCAATACCTTTAGTATTCTTATCTATTTGCCATTATACACTGAACCAACTATTTCATTGCATCATCAGAATACTAGCTCTCTGCATGATAGAAATTTTATGAATGAGAGAACACACTTTAGAACTTGGTGCCAGTATTTGTTCTGACTCCATCTGCTCTATTAAAATCTTGTTGATTCGTCTGCTTTTGGTTTTATGAATAATAAATTTGGTAATGCGACTTTGATGCAGCAAGCTTGTTTCGTGCTTACTAAAGTCCCTTGCAACATGTTTTCAGTCAGAGTAACCAGCTGTTGCCAGCGAAGAAGTATCAATTACTGTTGAAAACAATTTGCATATATCACAGATGTTCCCCTCCGACAGTGAGTAGCAAAGTCAGTCTCTTTTAACTTTTTCTCAGTTCAATTGTTCACGATGCCTTTGGGCATTGACATTTATACTTTTTGTCCTGAATCAATTTTGTAGATGCACTGAAGCCCTCATCCATATACTGGCAAGAGGTAATCTCCAACACGCAGACAAAATTATTTTGTCAGAAACTTGTGTTCATATCCCAGTGTTAAATGTAAAGGATGAATTAGTATTTTCATCGCCATTGTAATAATTAATTTCTTCTTGTTGGTATGGGCTCGATTCATTTAGATTATGTTGACAGTTATCGGTTTTTAAGAGTTTGTACTCTCTACATGATTGGTTTCGCAGTCCTGGTTGGCAGTTATATTTTCGGTACTTTCTGATTGAGGTTGACTGTCATCAGCATCCAGAGATTTATTGTCTACATTGTTGTTTCCACTATCTTGGCTAGCGTGGGTTTCAGCGCTAGAGGACGAAGCCCATAAACCCTTTAGCTTCCTAGTTTTAGCTACTACTTTCTCTAATTTTTTCTTCATATTTCTTTTACTTTAGCTTTTCCCAGCCACTCTTGTGTTTGTACATTTATATTAGTGTTACGGATCTGCTTGTTTGTTAATTTCCCGTAAAAATTATTCTCTCCGAGAAACTTCAGCGATACAAGTCCTTTCTTAATTAAAACTGGTTTATTCTTTCTCGTTACAAACTTTGTAATACACAGAATTTCCACAGTCAATACGTTTGCAATCTCGATAACAAAACACACACACTTTATATTACTGTCACTACCGCTCGCTTGACTCAATTATCTGTCTCTATATCTATTTATCTGCTATTATATCTCCGCTTTATTTGCTGGGCTTATATACAAAAACAAAAT